CGGGCTTCACAGAGGGAAAGGAACATCAAAGTGAGAAGAATTCAGGAGGGGGAATAGAAGGGTGTTTCAAAGATGTAAAAGAGATAGACACAAAGGTAGAAAAAAGGTGAGGTGAGTGCTGTGGAAGTAGACGAATATGGCATACAGTGGGGTGATGGTAGTTTAAAGTCAGAAATCAACTACCGGTTTATAAACTTTTTTGCCGTATGAGTATACGTTGCCCAGGGTGCACCACGTGGAGGTAAGTCTATCGCATACCCCGTGACCAATCCTCAACCTCTATTAAACCTTGGGAGGTGCGACCGTACAAACAGTGACCAATCCTTAACATCTGTTTGTTTAACCTAAACCCCAATCCTATCATGAGTAGCTCCCTGCGTGTACACTTTATCCGCAATATCCGTACTGAGTAAACGTGCTCCGTGCTACACATAATATGCTCACTGAATAGACGTGCTCCGTGCTACACGTCTGATACCCGTACTGAAAAAACGTGCTCCGTGCTACACGTCTGAATCCGTACTGAATAAGCGTGCTCCGTGCTACACGTCTGTTTTCCCGTATCGAATAAACGTATTCCTTGCTACACGTCTGTTTTCCGATAGCTGGGCTATAGCTTAGCTGGTTCTGGGAGTCTAGCCAGATGTAGGAGAATCTGCCAAAGAGATTTCTGAGTCAGGAGAATCTGCCATAGAGATTTCTAAGTCAGTCAGGCTTTACTTAGGGTTTCTGAGTCAGTCAGGCTTTACTAAGGTAGCAATCCGCTGCAGAACTTTTGCACTTTTTACCTACTTTCTCCTATAGATAGACTTACCTCCGCATGGTGCGCCCTGGGCAACGTTAACTCATACGGCAAAGAAGTCTATAAATCGACAGCTAACTCCTGACTTCAAACTTCCATGACCCGACTGTATGTCATATTCCACCACATTCACAGTACTCACCTCATCTTAACTTTTTCTCTATCTTTATTCCTGTCTCTTTTACATCTGGGAAACACGATAGGTTTTATGAAATCGAAGAGAGAGGTTTCTCCACATGCTATCATAAATGGGGAGAGAGGAGAGGGGATGGGTGGGGATATTTTCTTTTTTACAGTCAGTTTTCTCTACCAAGTATTAGCTTTCATTAATAATAATAATAATAATGACTAATATTTAAATTAGAGTTCAAGAGAGACCACAAGAAACGGTTACATGAAATGTGTGATTTATTTGGTTTAAAAAGTATATTTTTTGGAGCCGTTTTATGCTTAAGATTTTTGCCAGGGGCTAGGCATATTTGTCAGCATCCATATGAACTATTTAGAGGACTATTGAGCGTTAACAAACGCTTATTTTTCTAATATCCTCCGCAGGAGTTAATTAACAATGAATTCTCAAACCGTGATAATTTGCTTCATGTTACCTCGATCGATAAGATCAATAAGTTGTTGACATATCCCGTTACAGAGCTTAAAAATAATAACACTGTCTCATTATTAGGAAATCCTTTGTGCCAAAAGTGAGTAAAATCACTTGTTATTATCATTATTTATTTATTTATATCAAATGGTAGACGTTTTGATAGTTATCATTGGCGCTTTAATTGACTTCAGGCTTCGCAGGGGGAGGAGGAACATCAAAGTGAAAAAGTCGAGAGGGGGGAGACAGAAGAATGTTTCAAAGGTGTAAAAGAGATAGACACAAAGGTAAAGAAAAAGGAAAGGTGAATACTGGGAAAGTGATCGAATATGCAATGGGGTCATGGTAGTTAGAAGTCAGAGTCAACTGAAGGTAGAAAAAAGGCGAGGTGAGTACTGTGGAAGTGGTGAAATATGACATACAGTGGGGTGATGGTAGTTTGAAGTCAGAGGTATATGACATACAGTGGGGTGATGGTAGTTTGAAGTGAGAAATAGGTAGAAAAAAGGTGAGGTTAGTACTGTGGAAGAAGTCGACAGTAGAGCAAAGGTGAGGTGAGTACTGTGGAAGGGGTCGAATTTGACATACAGTGGGGTGATGGTAGTTTGAAGTGAGAAGTCGAAGAGAAAAGGTAAGATGAGTACTGTTGAAGTGGTCGAATTTAAGAAAAAAGGTGAGGTGAGTACTGTGAAATGGTCGAATATGGACAAAGGTGAGGTGAGTACTGTAAAAATAGTCGAATATGATCCGGTTTAACTTTTTGCCGTATGAGTATATGTTGCCCAGGGTGCACCATGTGGAGGTTAGTCTATCGCCCACCCCGTTATCATCATTCTTAATTCATTGTCGTGGAAACGTGCACAAATTGACCTAATGACAAAATAGCAGCATGAAGCGACGAAATTTGCTGTTGCCTCCTGAAGTAATGAGTGGATTGTGTCCTGTATTGCATCCAGGACACAAGGTATGGCCTAAGAACCACCTCTCTCGTTTTATTAGTTGTCCGAACATGTTATGTGTAGCCTTCTCACGCGCCACTCTTTTGTGTCTGAACTGAAAATATGGTTTTTATCCACTCGTGCGTCTTCTGACCTTTGGGTATAGAGGGTTTGGCAGGAATAAAATTTTAACTAATTCTCAACCTTTTAGGCAGTGTAAAACTACCCTCGTTCCTCGGTGCATTTATGGAGCTCACTTAAAGCTTCCTCCAGTTTGATTAATAATTTGGATGGTCTCCAAGACACCTCCAAACTTTTCCCAGCTTTAAAATTGTTTGAATTCACCTTTGTATGGTGACCTAAGCCTAATTCCAATGTCTCCAAGAGCTCAGAAGCATAAACAATTTTTGCAATTCCGGAATTCAGAGTAGTTATCCACAAAGTTAATTTTCGCAACGCAAATCCAGCAATATTAATGTAACTTATTTTCAATCGATTGCGAAACTCACCGAAACGTAGGTTAATCACCTCTGACTATCATCCTTAAATATCCATCTTCACTTAGAGTTAAATTAAATCATATTACTAATGTTTGGGGTCCAGCTTTAATATTTACTTATATCAAATGGCATGCTTCATGTTATTTATCAGGGGTGTGCGATAGACTTACCTCCACGTGGTGCATCTTGGGCAACGTACACTCATCATACGGCAAAAAAGTCTATTACCTGGCAGTTGACTTTAATCTACCATGACCCCACTGTACGTCGTATTCGACCAATTTCACAGTACTCACCTCACCTTTCCTCTACCTTTGTGTCTGTCTCTTTTACATCATTGTAACACACTCCTGTTCCCTCTCTCGACTTTTTTGTCACTTCGATGTTCCTCCTCCTCTCTGTGAAGTCTGAATGGGCTAATGATAACCATCAAAACACCTGCCATTTGATATAAATAAATACTTGTGACATCAAAGTTAATAATAATAATAAGAAGAATAATTATAAAATAATGAGGCATTACATTTAAATGACTATTGAATCGGTAAGTTGAAAGTGTAATCCAATTCGATTTTACAACTAACTACTCAAATTTTATTTTCAAAAGATAATGATGATTTGCTTGGTTAAAGATATTTCAAAATTTTGAAGGGAATTAGCTTAGTGAAATAATAATAATAATAATATTTTAGGCTCTCAGATAAACTTTTATGACCTACCCCGCAGAATTCTTAGTCTGTCTTCAGCGGATGTCTGTTCCTCAGCCAAAATCACTTCCTCTATATGAATGGAAAAAACGGCTTTTTTATCCTTTTCATTGGCTGGGTAATAAAATTCTGTAATTAAATGACGATTATCCCAAATGATAGATTCCTTAAGCTTTTTTGTTCCGAATAAAATTAAATATGAAAGACACTTTAAAGTACACTCGCATTGGCATTGTATTCACTGCTAATAGAACGTGGAGCTAAATCTTACTAATTTGGCATATGGATTCACGTAAGATCAAAAAAAATTAAAATGATTGGAAACAGTATTCTCTTCTATTCCATGTAAATATTCTTAAAGTAGGTTTAATTAGAACCAAAGCAACTTTAATATTTTGAGTGAATGAGGACTGGTGTTCCCTCCTCACACTCTTTTTAAATATATATACCTCTCTTTCTATCATGGAGACTTTGAAATACGCATCCTGATATTTTCCAAAATTTCTTCACGGTCATTACTAACCTCAGGAATTTAATTATTTGCTTCTTGCTGTGATCCAAGAGATGTCTAACCCCAGCTGAAACCTATATTTCCCCATAGAGGACCATTGTTCTCTCTCAAGATGTTTAATCACCTCAATAAGGTAGTTGAGGGGTCCTTGAGGAAGCACAGCTACTGTCCGAGTTAATAGATCTTCGTTATCGGCGACTCTTCCAACTGTTTAGCACGTTCCTCTTAAGGTGGACTTGACACAACTTACCTCTACACACACACAAACAGAAGGAAACGCCTGCTGTTGAGATAAAAGTGAAGAAATGAATGCAAGGTGGGAAATAGACACTTCGCTGAGACTCGAGTCAGTCTGAATGTCACTTGGTTATCAACTTATGCTTTCGTCATGTTGGCAGGGTTCGGCCGATCTTACATGGCTTGTGTTCGAAACCTTCAATATAATGTTTCATCTTCGAGTTTTCATGACTATTTTCCAATGCTTGCCCAAAAGTATTCAGTTCTATTTCTTCCATTTTTTGCCAAGAATGGTCGCTTTTTTACCTCCAAATGGTAAAGTAGACGAATGGTCACCCACAAAACTCCACAACTTGCCATTATAATTTTGAGAAAAAAGAGCTTTTAAAGATTTTCTTGGATCCAATGGAGACAGAATCAATGCTGGATCCCCACTGTGCGAATCTAAACAAATTGAAACAAGAGCAACCCCTGGAACTTATCAATCTAAGCAAATGAAAATCTTTTCAAACTTAACGCTTAGATTCAATAGGAAATTCTTTGAAGACGAAAGCTTTGTCCAATTTTCAGTCCATTGTTGCAATCTTCAAGTGCTAATAGTTAGAAGTAACTCAGCCTAAATCTCGGAATAACAAAACCGTCTCCCCCAAACAAAGTTAATAACAGTAGAATTGTTTATTTTTCAGGTCTTTATCTTTCCCCCGTTAAGTCAGACGGGGAGAACTAACATCACCTTGATGTCGCCACTTCAAAACGCCCAACTCACCTGCTTTGTGGATCCATTCAATGTAGCCATCGAGTTCTCTTTCCGTCTTCTGCTGTCGACGAAGTTTGAGGAAGGCTCTTCTCTTCTCCACACGTTCTCTTTCCTTTGCAAACTCCCTGAAAATGCAGGACATACTCCATCAGTTTTTACTTTAATTGAATTTAAGTTCAATTTGGTAATGTTAATAGCGCATTAGTGGATTCAAAATAGCCAACTTTGGGGATAAAAACAAGGAAGTCGTTTGCGACAATATGATGGACCTTTAGAGTACTCCAACCTTGTGAATTTCAAGGTCGAAGTGGGTAGGACTCTAAAATCATTACTGTTCTATGTAGTTTAGCGACCTACTTGTGTATGAACTTGGCGCGCTAGCAATAATGTTCTTTGTGATTACCGCATGCATATAGATTTCAGTTTATTTTAAATTGATTGTTTATTTATAAAAATTTATTTTCAGGAGCTCAGATTTAATTAGGGTGGCAACATAAATCTAATCGAATGCATAAAAAATTCATATTAAGAGATGTTTTCGTCAAATGTATTAAAAATCATCTAAAAGGAGTTAAAAGCGGTGTAAAAGTGCCCCCCCCCCGAATTAAATAAAGTCATTTGATTTCAGGTTAGTTTTAATCAATTAATAAATGCAATTTAATGTAAATCGAGCATCTGTTAATCAGTGTTTATAAGAATAGTTATTGACAACACACCGTTGCCATTTTTCGAACCTCCCAATTGCCCTTCAGTGAAACACCCCGCTCCTTGGAAGTAAGGCTTCAACGGTGGTCCACAACTTTGATAATAAATGCAATTTTGTTGGCTTGAAATAGGTAAGATAATAGTCGTTACATCGACGGCTTCTTCGCAGGTGGTCACGCATCCCCATGTGTGTGTGTGTGTGTGTGTGTGTGTGTGTGTGTGTGTGTGTGTGTGTGTGTGTGTGTGTGAACTTGAGAATACATTTGCACGAATGATGTGCAAAGGGCAAATTTCTCTCTTGAGTGTAAAGGAGGAAGTCAAAAATGCAGCCTAACGGTATCATTCTGGAAAGCGCAACATTGATTTATTACACCTATCATATTCAGAATTTGAATAAAATGCGATATGAAAACCATGGCAACCATTTTCCATTTGACCTTTCTTATATAAACAAACTTTCGTTGAGAGTGGCTCAATACAAACATGGTATTGGCGACAGTGCAAAATTCCTATTAGAATCAAAATCCGGAAATTTTAAATAAAACGAATTATTTGAATATTAGCTCACCTGAATTGTAGAAGTAAATAATTCGATTAAATGTTTCAAATGTACCATTAAATTCCAAAAATGCATTTGTTTCTTCTAATATTACAATGTCATACTCAATTAGACTATCAGAGGATAGGATTGATGGAGTGGAATGGACAATGAGGCTGAGTATCCTAATAGTCCTCTAATATTTGATTCATAGTTTCGTGATATACACTGTTTATTTACTGATCCGTTCAATGTCATACGCTCTGAAATTCTCATCACATGATTTGCTGCTCGGATTACACGTTTCCTCTGCTTAGTAAATAATAAAGACTTGATTATAAATACCGCGTAAATAAAACAAACTCTGGTTCTTCTCATTAGACTGTGACCCTAATTTTTTTCCAATTAAAAATTATTAATTCTTCTCGTATTACAATTAACAAGTACTTCCAAGGCCAATTGGACTTGAGGGAGAATTTTGAAACACCTTCGCTATTCATCTTATCGGCTCAATTGTCGCATTGTCAGTCGAACTCGTGTTGCTAGGAGCGAACGGATTTGACAACTACGAAAAAGTAAATTGGCAGTTGAGAGTAATTCGGTTTGTCATATTTATTTGATGGAGGGAGCTCAGCTAATTTCTACGGGACAAAGGGGGAACCGATCATTGTGACCTGGGTTCAGTACTCACAAAATACATTCAAATGATTAAATAATTTGGGCATAGGAAATTGTGGGTCATTTCGATTATTTATGATCAAAAGATATAGTTTCACTTGGAATATACCATAAAATTAAATAAAGTGCACTTACTAATAAATCATTAATTTTAGAAACGAATAGAAGCCGTGAAATACTTACTTAGGCTAACCTTATCCTGTCATCCTCGTTCATCTCTCTGATTCAATGGGTTACAATTGCGGTTCTGGTGTTCGAATTGCCCTTGTTATCCACCGTTTTTCCACCGAAGCTCAGTTCCAAACGAAACTTTCTGTGTTATCGACTTCAGAAAAAGAGTGCATCCAGCTAAATGCATCCCATTTATCTTCGCACTCACATTTTGAGTAGCATTTCGACGCGGGTAGACGCTTCAAGAGCTTTGAATTAATTGTGCACAAAACGTTTTTGCTTTTCTTAAAAGGATCGACACTTTTAAACCCTCTAGACCTAGCAGTTTGCATTGTGGAAAACTCTTTGGCATATTTCGGTATGGTCAAAAGGTTGGGGAGGAAACTATAGAGATTGCTTTGATGAAAATTAGTCTTCTTATCGGTGCATTGATAATTAGATGAAAAATTACATCCCAAATGATTTTAGGACAATAAAATAAATTTTTACTTGCTGGAAGCGCGCTTTCATTTTTGAAAAGCAAAAGATGAACCAAACACCGTAAGAAACATTAGAACGCAGAAATTGAACGATTTCATGCAGCTCTTTGTTCTCTGACTATGTAGCCACTATCTAGTCGATCCCCCCACCCCACCCCCCACTTTCCACATTGAACTAGCTCTCTCTCTCTCCCTCTCATTGTTTTTTGAAAGGAGAGCAAATAGACGCAGCGCGCTGACTCACCCACTGAGAACACCGAGGACGAGGTTGAGCATGAAGAAGGAGCCCAGGACGATGAGGGTTAGAAAGTAGTATACATTGAAACGATTGCCGAAAGCATAATCCGTCTAGACAATTGGAAACAAGCAAAAAAAATCACATACATTTGCTGAGCATCTAACAAGAAAAAACAATTATTCCATTGTTCGAAAAGTATCACACTTTGATCTCTATTCCATTTCTCATCAAAATTCTGTGCTTTCAATTGTGTCAAACATATCCTCTTATAATCTAATTTGAGAAATAAATTGAATATTATAACTTATTTATATTTGCTTTCCGCTAAATATGCATATGCGCACGCCTTTACTTTCAACTCAAGAAGGCGGTAGAGTGTGAGTTGTAAGGTGGGAGCCTAATATCGTGTCCTTTCTTGACGTAATTTTATACATTTTGAAAACGTAAAAAAATAGCGAATTCACTTCAAAAGATTAGAACAACTACAAAGAATCTTGAATTTTGGCATGGAAATCGATAAGATGCGATTTAGTATAACTTTCCCAATTGTCAGATACTCTCTGTTCCGTTAAAGAGATTCGAAGCATCTTCGGCTTTAAGGATGCAATACTAATCTTCGATTGGAGAAATCGGAGTTCTTTGCTATTATGGTTTCAGGCGATCCTGTAAAATTGATATGCTTCAGCAAGGAATTTGCTTATCTTTAAGGCTGTGAAATGCATGATCTTACGCTGACGTCACTTATGCGTCCCAGTTTCCCGAACGACCCATGGAACCCTTATAGGTTCCACTCAAAACAACAGTGAAGCGATTTCCAAGCTACCTTCATTCCCTGAACATACGCTGTCCTCTCCCTCCCCCTGCCAGGAAAATTAGTTTTCACAATTCACTTCACTTTTAATTTTTTTCTATTTGTAATAATTAATTTTACCTAAATCTATAAATAAATAAGAAAGTGCGTCCCCTTTAAACTGCGATTAAATTGTTAAATTACTAAATAATCACATAGTGAGAAATCTTTAAGGTAAAAACAGCATTTTTTTATTACAATTGAAGGTGTTTGGATTGCCGTTAATATCCGCAAATCTCTGATTTTACAAATTAGAAGAAAAAAGTGATTTTCAATTAATCTTGATTTTAGAAGAGTGCTTTTGAATGGCATGCAATAGCGAGTTGCTTTAGAGTCAACAGAGAGAGAAGCTGCTCCATTCCAAGATGGAGATAAGAGCTATCTCTTCGTTGAACACAGGGAGTGAGAGAGGAAGCTAAATGCGCTATGATGCTAGACAGCTTAACGAGGGTACTTGCACTCTGAGAGTGGAAGGGCCAAATATTGACCCGGGTCAGGCTAATTGACCGCTCATCATGGGGTTCATATTGATCCCAGGTAGTCCAATCAACCCCGTTAAACTAGCTCACATTAAAAAGATACTCATGACGCAATTTCGGAAGTTTAATAAAAATAATAATTTGATGAGGTCGCAGCGAACTCATTCACTCCCCTTCAGTTCTGATTGCACGGAAATTTATTCTTCTTAGATAAACATTTCGAAAAACTAATTTTTCGTCTATTTACTTGAAATTAAGCACAAATCTGGCTTATTTATTATCCTCATTAACGCACTGCAATTAACTTCCAACCAGGGAACATGTTCTCTAAGACATAATGAAACAAACACAAATAGCATTTGCTAAAGCAGATGGCAAAACATTTAAATGCATAAATATATTGAAGAAATTCGCCTAATTTTCTTGAAACGAAATATTATTTATTTATATCAAATGGCAGGCGTCTTGATGGTTATCATTAGCCCTTTTGTTGACTTCAGACTTCACAGAGGGAAAGGAACATCAAATTGAAAAAAAGTCGAGAGGGGAGGGTGAGCAGAAGAGTGTTCCAAAGATGTAAGAGACAAACACAAAGGTAGAACAAAGGTGAGGTGAATACTGTGGAAGTGGTCGAATATGACATACAGTGGGGTCATGGTAATTTAAAGTGAGAAGTCAACTGCCAGTCAATAGAATTTTTTGCCGTATGAATATACGTTGCCCAGGGTGCACCACGTGGAGGTAAGTCTATAGCGCACCCCAGAAACGAAATATAAAATAATGCTTAACGTGATTCACGTTGAAAAATAAACCAAATGGATGTTAGATGACCTCACGTTAAATTAAATTTAAGGGTCAACCGAGAAGTTTCAATATCGCAGACACAGAGTTGCTATGACCCAGGGTCACAAACGAGAACAAGTGGCGTGCAGTGAGTAATTGGAGAGGAAGCAATAATTGATATGATAATAATCTTCTATTTATAAAAGACGGGGTGTACGATAGACTTACCTTCACGTGGAGCACCCTGGGCAACGTATACTCAGACGGCAAAAAAGTCTATTAACTGGCAGTTGACCTCTGACTTCAAGCTACCATCACCCCACTGGATGCCATATTCGACCGCTTCCACAGTACCCATCTTACCCTTTTCTCTGCCTTTGTGTCTGTCTGCCTCTTTTACATCTTTGAAACACTCTTCTATTCCTCCCCCCCCCTCGACTTTTTTCCACTTTGATGTTCCTCCTCCCCTCCATGAAGCCTGAAGTCAACTACAGGGTTAATGATAACTATCAAAATGCCAGCCATTTGATATAAATAAATAAATTTATAAAAGACTATTTATATAAGACTCTCGATGTTCGCACTCCAGGGCTAATGATAAATATCATAAAGCCTGCCATTTGAAATATATATGTTCGCACTCCATTCCATAATTCCACGCAGCCTCCACTCCGACTTCAACCCCCACTGGACGTGATTTATACGTCCTTCGGCTCCAAAACCGCCACACCATTTCGACTTGTGAAAGCTCTAGCTTCGCAATGCTTATTCAGAGCAAATTAAACGAAATCTCAGAACCACACTCTGTTAACGATATTTTATAAAGAGATTAATGAAATATTTCCAAATACTTGAATAATACATAATAAACCCAAGACTAATCAATGAATTTATATGAAATCTCCGAATACAAAAAATGGGTT